AATTACACCACTGAGTGCATAGCCAGACACACACTCGTCCTTGTCTCCCTTACACAGACACACCGACTGACTCATAGTCTCACCCACTTAGTCTATTGGTATGTTAGTCATTTCAAGTCCTGCGGTCCTAATGCTCATACATTGTGTCTTGCATCTTTCCTGCCTACATGGGATGCACGTTTAAGGTGCAAAATCAGAGCCGTAGTATTTGTGGAGTCAAAGTAATGAATCGAGCCTGTCGGTCTCAGTGTTATGCCAAAGTAAATACCACTCAAAATGCCACAGCCAGACTGGTGGGAAGGTTTAGAACGGATGTGTTTTGTCGCCTCACTGTACTCCATATTACATAAGGTTTGCTGGAGGGACTTGTTAAAGGTGGTGGAATATGTCTTTCTGTTGAAGATACTATAAAACGAAATTCAGTTGAATCAGTTAGGTGCACCTGGAAATAATTGGTCCTTGTCGCAAATTGAGTTATTGTCCACATTATGTTATCAATTTATATTATCTTTATACCTCTGCTTTTTTCCCTGCAATGTCTGCATCTCACCAATAGATGGCGTGTAAGACACTGGTTCTCAATTATTTCCTGTTGTTTCCTGTCATGGAGACAGAAATGTTTTCACACCCCCGCATATTGAAATACTATTGAAAACCTGATAACATTTTTTTTTATCTGTACAAACCACTCTATGAGTTGCTGCCACCTAGTGACTGGAGGCTTGTTATCATTCCAGCATTACAGCAGTGGTACACTTATGTCCAGGGTGCCATATTCCATTGGAAGCCCCTCACACAGTAGAGTTGTATAATAGCAAGAGCATGCTCAATTAGCCAATAGCACACCAAGTACGAATTGTATTAGCCAATAGTATGCTGTGTACGTTTTCCTCCAGGCAAACAAAGCTACTAGCGAACGTTCGCAAATGCGAAATAATGCAATTTCAAAACGAGAATCCTTTTTTTTTTTTTTTTTTTTTTTGAAAGCCAACAAAAAATATCAGATTCAAACAGAAATCTGCAAGGGAGGGAGCGAAAGTGGAACCGCGTGTACCGCTGCCTGAGTGAACGAGCGCTATACTTATAAGATGGCTTTGTTTACATTCGCCAGTTGTGTACAAACGTTGGATTGTGCTACATTCACTTTGTGTCGTTTTTTTGGGAACGTTTTTTTGCCCTTCATTACGGTTCCTAGGTATAAGTCAGACTCTTGTGATGTTTATATGGCCTAGATTATGATCACGGCCACCACTGTGTTAGCGTAGGTGAGTGACATAGCTACTTATGTACAGTATGCGGATTCCGACTTAGAGTGAAGATTGAGTTGCGTTACGTCGAAGGAACGGAACTTTGGCGTAAGTCGAAGACCCCCCTACTCAGTAAATACAGTCCATATACCATGTTTCAGGGGTCCAAGCCTTCTAAGAAAGCCAAGTATGTAATCGAGGTGTTATGTATAATTTTAGTGTGCCCCTGTTAAAAAGTGACATTTGAAAGTACTAGTTAAAGTACAAGTCTTTTTACATATACGTCGAGAGTAAGTCAACTGAGACACTGTTCAACTCAAGTAAACTCTATGTTTTCTAATATTGACTGTTGAAAGTTACAAGGAACTATGTATGGCAATGGGGTGTGGGGCTGGGTTTAAGGAGGTCAGGCACTTCACATGAAACTATTTTTCGGTCTCTGCGTGTAATGTAGACCTGTGTTTACCCTCTGCCACTTACCTGCCAAATGACAAAAAAGATGAGAGCGGCACACAGCACCAAGGTGAGCATGTAGCAAAAGGCCGCAAAGGTGAACGCCATGGCCGAACCTGCCAGCCTGGTGATGAAGATGTTCGAACAAAAGGGAAGAAAAATATGGACACCTTCCTCTCCCTGCCCTCTGGTTCTCTCTGAACCTCTGATCTCTTTCCTCGCTGAAGTCTTAAGTTGTCGGTTTCACTCTGATTTCAGTTGGACTGGTCAATTTTTTTTTTTTTTTATCAAACAACACTGTACTTTCAACCCCCCCCCCCTGCGAGATTGGCTCAGGACCTTATATTTTATAAAATATTGTTTTGCGTAGTAAATTACTCTTGTGTATGTATAAATATAACTTGTTATCTTATGAAACCGAGCTATTTAAATAATACGCAGTCCAGAAATGTATGGAGTTTATTTTAAATTTACACTGGAATGTTCACATTTAAACATGTGCGACGTACAGCGAGTAGGTTGGCTAACAAAAAAAAAATAGAGAAAATCTTAAAAACTTTTATCGACCAAAAATTTTTTATCGACCTAACTACAGTGCTCTCGGGAACCTCGTGAGAGTCACAGACCCTACTGTTGAAGATCCCTTTAAATGATATCCCTAAGGCCTGGCTAATATATTGACTAATTCCTCAAACGTCTGTTCACAAACACGTAAACACAGCAAATGTCTGTATCCTCCCACTCGCTTTAAAATACTCTAAGCCTACACGAGCGTATTTTTGCACCGTAACGCGAATTCTATCGCTGTCTTGACGGACGTGCTTTCAGCAGAAACGAGCAGAATTGTTAATATGACATGGATATGGCTTGAAACCGGTCTGTAGTTTTTTTTTTCTCTCATATGGCTTCACTTCATCTGTTGCTCCTCACCGCTCAACACTCTTAATGACGCACATGTTTTACATCCGAGTCAACGCGTGTGTAAACAAAGACGACCAGCGCGTTATTGGCTTTTGTTTATATAATAATATTTGGTGTTAAAAAAAAAAATTATTACAACGCGACAAAAAAACCTAAAGAAATACTTTTCCTCCGCGTTAATCTGAATTCACTGTCAAATGAAGTGAGGCAGCAAGTGCTGTGGTTACGGTTCGCACGACTGTCCATCCCAATGTCAATATCGCTCGTGTAAGGACGCAGTAACGCTCAAATATCGCAGTAGGTCATCGATGACAGTTTCGATTAGCGTCGATCAGAGTGAGCGCCGATCTCAACAGCGAGCAGAGAATACCTGTGTCTGGTCGGAGAGCTGTCTGTCTCTGGGCTCTCCACACTTCCCTGGTTTATGTCAGTGCTGCTGCTCCACACCATGTCAGAATTCTCTGCTCTACATCTGTCTCTCAGGCGCATCGCTCAGATTTGTCCAATTCCACCGTTAACCTGCCGATCCCCCCTCACCATGATCTGTAATATTCCCTGTTTCTAAACAAACCCAACTCCGCAGCTCGCAAAAGTCACAGGTTGTTAATCCCCACTCTTCTATCGTCGCTTTCCCTGTAATGCTGCTGTACTTTTCCCCCCTTCCTTCTTGACCAAACTCTGCTGTCTTTATGTTTATGTTTTCAAAAACAACAAATCTCAACCTGAATCTCTCCAGTCCTCCTACTTCTCAGACTGCCAGGGAATATTTCCATCACGCTTGATGTTGTAAGAGTCGACCAATGGGATGGCTCCGTCTCCATCCCTCTCTTCCTCACTCCCCCCCCCCCCCCCCCCCTCGCCCGCCGCCCGCCTCCTCCTCTCTGTCTGTCAGCCACCCATGTCTCGCTTTCACTTACATTTATACATTTCCATAATTCTGTGAACACCAGGGGGTGGGGGGTGGGGGGGGTTGAGGGGGCAGGATGTTCTCCTTTCTTCCTTCAGTCTTTTTTCCATCCCCTCTTCTCTCATATCTGTCAGCCACCTGTCGTTGCCCACAACTTTCTGCTCCATTAGCTATCCACATCCATTGCAGTATTTGTTTTATTATTATTACTATTATATTTATTTTGCGATATGCGATATTGGGCTGTTTGTCTTTTTAAAAAAATGATTTCAAAAACCAAACGCAAAGCAGACAGATTTGACAGAGCAAAAGGAATGAAACGACCAAGAAAGTGTACATATATATATGTATTTATGTGTATATATGTATATATGTATGTATATGTATATGTATATATATACTCATATATATACATATATACACACATATGTATATATACATATATACATATATATATACCAAGAAAGTGTACATATATATATATATATATATACACATATATATATATATATACACATATATATATATATATATATATGTACACTTTCTTGGTATATATATATGTATAATTCACAATGGCTGAACACAGGTGAAGCCCACCAGATAATTGCAAGGGAGAGAAATAAAAAGCCAGGAGAACAAGCGTAGGTGGATGTATGGCTGATTGCAAAAGAGAGACAGACAGGGGCGGCGAAGAGGGAAGGGAAGGGGTGAGCAGAAAAAAAAAAAAGCATCGGAGCAGAGCAAATATGTCTGTTGTAACAGTGATAGGTTTCTAGCCTGCCATGCTGAAGGTCCCAGGTTTGAACTCACATCGCCCTCAAACCTCATCCATAGCAGGGAGAGCTGCATCAGTGAAAAGTATCTGGTGTAAATACTGTGCTCAATCACTATGCATGCTGTTGTTGTGGTCGAATCGAGCAAAAAAACGAAAGTTGTCCTTCTTCTGGTCTTTGTATTGTCTGCCAATGCTGAAGTTCCACTCAGATTTAACAACTTAATCAATAATGCTAGTGGCGCCCAGGAGGCTAAGACTAAGGTATTTAGCAGAGACAAATAAAAACAGATTTGAATCACATAAAGATTCACTTTTTCCGACTTATTACATTCACTTTCTGTTGGAGGATGTGGACAAAACATTTGCCGAGCGTTCAGTGTTTACTTGATTTTCTGACCTCTGTGATACGGCGTTTATCGCTGATGTCAAGTCACTGATGTCACTGAAAATGCACAAACATTCAAGCATTTAATATGTACACAAACTATTTTTCAGCTTCAAAACAGACCTAACATTTTTAAAGGAGAACTGTGTCCCGATCGTATTTGCTTCCAGTCCCTAGAAAATTAGAGCAAGACAAAACAAAAATCTGACAATTGAATAAGATATTATTATAATTATAATTATAATAATAATTATTATTATTATTATTATTATTATTATTATTATATTGTGGCTACTTGATTAGGTTTTGTTCCAACTCTCAATTACTCTCATGTCCATTGAGATAAACAGTCTAAACTGGCAAATGGAAAAACTGTTACAGTTTAAATGACTCGAACCTAAAACAACAGCAGAAGCACAAGATTCAACTGGCCAGATGTAGTTTTGTTAGTTCCTTGTTTTGAACTGTGCAGCTAGTCCAATTTCCTTTCATTTTCCCAGAGGGTATTGAAGAAAAAGGCAATTTCCCTGAAAACCAGTAAAGGGAGCCATCTGGTGGAATGAAGTTGCAGCTCGTTTGAAGTGCGGATAATTAAAATGGACAGAGACTAACTGGAATAGAAAAGGGAGTTGTGTTTTGTTTTCTGCACACGTGTGTCCTCATCTCTGGTGTGTTTGAGAGCTGATGTTTGATGTGCGAGTGAAAATCCTGATCTAATCCTGGCGAGTACTTTTGTAACCTTATTGGCCAATTATTTTTTTTTTTATATCTGGTAATTTAATTTGACACTAATTTTAGAGACAGACTCTAACTTTAAAATGTACACTATCTTTAATCAAGTTAAGTTGATGTGCAGCAGCGAGGTACTTAATCCGTGCCTTCTTTTTTTTTTTTTTCCAAAATTACAATTAATAGTAAAAATAATTAAAAAAAATATTTTAATCATGCAATGCATCGTACGCTCGTTTTTTTTTTCTTTTTTTTTTCTTGTTTGTTGTCAAGATTGCATGCGGCAATAGAATACACTTTTTCATGACAGCTTTGTCAGGGCCCTGTGTCAGAATCACGGCACACATCCTAAAATGAAACATGGATTCTCTTCAGTCCTGACATATGTACATGACATATGGCTGATAGCATCTGGGTTACAGCCCAGAGCTATGGTTCTCAGCAATCTGGGCCAGTGTGTGGTTCAGAAGGGTTTCATTTTCTATTTTGGTTTTACTGTGTTGTCACTGGACGGGGATCCCTTCAGTCCAGCAAATCTAAATATGAATTTATCATTTTCATTGAAATCATTTAAATCCCAATTGTATTCCCCTGAAGACACCAAGTATTTTTATTACAATGCTTTCTTCTGTACTTCATTTTTATACTTTTTATTCATTCTCTTCAAGTTTTTTTTTGTTTTTTAGTTGTTGTTTTTTTTACTCTTTTACTATTGCTATTTTATTCTTATTTCCCTTTCCTTACAGTAGTTGTTACTATGTGGCACGGGGCGAGTGATGCACAAGAATTCCTCCTGAACTGTGTGGTTTTGTGCACAAGTAGCTAATAAAAATCTCAAATCTGCATCCCTCAATAGGGAGGAGAAAAATTAATGGTGGCTAACATTGTTAGGATAGCATTAGCATTAGCATTAGCATTACTAATTGCCTCAAAATTTAAGTTGTCAACATTGTGGAGCGTTGTTGTTCGTGGTTTAGGAAGAACATTTTCGTTTAAGTTGTCAACATTGTTCGTGGTTTAGGAAGAACATTTTCAAAAAGTTTCTCACTTTCTATAGCATTTAGGAGGTGGCTCAATAATACAAATTTCGCTCAAATAAAAAACGTTCGTTAAAATAAAAAACACCAAATTGTAAATATCAAAAGATACCACTTCCCTTTTTTCCCCCCAAGGACTGACGTTATGTGTCACTGCAGTCCATTCCTGTGTGAATCAGAATTTTTTTTTAAGTTCATAAAAAAAGGTAAAATAAAAAACACAAAATTGTAAATATCAAAAGATACCACTTGCAGTTCCGCCTTTTTGTTTTCTTTTAAATTTTTAATCTTTTCAAGGCTTTTTTTTTTTACTACTGCTTTCTTTCTGTTACACATTAACCCTGAAACCTGACTGTGTCTAGTCTTGTGTTCCTTAACACTTAACACTGTCCAGTAATTTTGAAGGTCGGTCCGGAGTATTTGACCCTATCAGCTTTCACTACCTCTTCTCCTTTCAGCTTCACTTGTATTTAATGGAGACCTGTTCTTCTCCAAATTCCCCGCGGACTGATCATAGTCTTCTGTCACCTGTAAATTTCTATGGCGCAATCAAAGCGGCTCATAACTGATCCCTGGTGTCACCCTATCCTTACACTGAACCCATCTGTCACTCAGGCTGCACGTTCAGTTTTGTGACTACAGACTTTCTCATACAAGTCTGTCTCTATGCACACGATAATTTGCTTCTCAATTTATAGAAAGTCACTGAGCTCACTCACAAATGAGTGGGAGTGTTAATTTATTATAACTTTACTGTAAAATTTTGCCTTTTTGTAGCGGGTATCTACAAGTGGGTAAATTCTGCACAGTATGTTCTCGAATGTTCATTGTGTGGCTCTAACCGTCGCCTCACTAAATCCCTCGACTTTCTGAGTTACTAGCTGTCTTCCATCTATAGCTGAGATCGACACCAGTTCTCCAGTGATCCTGCAAAAAAAATTTAGCAGTAGATAAAGAATGAATGAATTTACCGTATTTTTCGGACTATAAGTCGCACTTTTTTTTTTACATCCTTTGGCTGGGTCTGGGACTCATACTCAGACTTATATATTAATATATATATATATATAATTTCTCGTGTTTTTTACTTTCACACTGACAGCCACTAGAGGGCACTGGTAAGATTTATACTCCTGAGTAACTTATAGCCAGGGAAAACTGTACAGTTCTCGGTAGTCACTATCATTAAGACAGCCAGTACAGTTCTCGGTAGTCACTATCATTATTAGATGCTGTTCATCCATTCTTTTTCTTGCTACTGCTTTGTTGCTGCTAGCTTTACTGCGCTCCTGCTCACGTCCCGTACCTCTCCGACTATCTCACGTTTCCTCTGCGGCTTTCCTTCTGTGGATTCTCTGCTGTACATTTTCACTGCATTGAACTCCACTTTTCTGTGATTTAGTTACAGCTAACACCTTCCTGCCTATTTTTTTTTTGTTTGTTTTTTTTTTTTGTGGCCCCTAATTAATTTTGTAGCGCCTCATTATCCATGAGAGATTGCCGACACTCATGCCTGAATCCTTTGTATCCCTCTTCCTTTCCAGTTTCCACCAATTCCGTACTAAACCTCTTCCTCTTCCTTATATTAGTCCCCATTGAACCGTTCTCCATTCCCTTGCAATAGCCAATAATTCATCATTTGTTTCCATCAAAGCTTTTTAGCATTTTAGCAATTTAACGTTCTGAGTTTCTTTGGATAAAAGCTTCCGCTAAACGTACGAATGTAAATGTAAAACCACAATAAAGTAAGATCATAATTATCATTAGTCAAATATAAGGGATTAGAGTTCAATTCCAAGGGCGTCCGAGGTCTCTTTAGTTGACCAACATGCTGTTCAGATAATACAAAATACCTCAAGATACGGTTAAAATTTCAATGCTTGTGCCGAGTGGAGTAGAGTAAGGTTACTGGTTAGTGCAAGGTCAATCAGCATCAATGGACACATGATTAAAATGATATGAGAGGAGTGTGTTCTTATTGGGATAACGGTTGTCCCATTATTATACATAGGGGGATGAATGCTGTTATTCCTTAATGTCCACAAACCTGCTCCTCCTAAATGAAATGCTCTTTTCTAACGGCCTAATTAATCAACCTTCCCACTTAGGGGAAATCACAGACACGCAGTATTACTGATGCACCCAGAGAGGGCTGTTCAGCGAAGAGACAGTTTTACATGTCCATGATGTTTTTATAAGCCCCGAACATCTATGCGCTGCTGTTGGAAACACAAGGATATTTAACTGAAAGTAAGAACAGAAGAGGTGTCTGTTGCCATGATACAGCAGCACAATGGTGCCACAGAAACAAAGATAATTGAGATTGTTGATTACGCCATTCATCCTGCAAGAAATAAAGCAATCATATTGTTTATGTTAAAGAAAACGTTGTTGGGAAGATAATGCTTTCACACAGCACCATTCCTATTTTCAATCCAGTCCTAGGCCACATTCAGTGGTCCAGTGGGCTGGATTTGGCCCGCGGGCTGCTAGTTGGTGATCACTAGACAAGGGGCTCGAATCCCAAATCTACATGTTTTGGACTGCAGTAAGAAACCAAACCACCCAACGATAACCAACGTCATACAGAGATCAGACTGTTGACCTTGACCCAACGATAACCATGACAATTCATGGGAAGATCATGAAAAGGTCATACAGAGATCAGACTGTTGACCTTCTTGCTGTAAGGCAAATTCACTAACCACTATTTCACTGTGGGGCCTAAAATGTCATTTATATTTTTTTTTTATCCTTACCCACGGCAACTTTTTTTTTCACAACAAATTTCACTTGTGTCCTAATGTGAAATTTTTATATTCTTTAAATCCTTACCCACGGCAACTTTTTTTCGTAACAAATTTCACTTGTGTCCTAATGTGAAAACAAACCAGCCTCCTGTCACCATACATATTGGGAATTCCTCTTTCTTGAAAGACTATTGCAGTATTTTATCACCTTAAATCTTCCCTTTCCATTTTAGAATATTCTGGTGATGTTTCCAAAAGGGAACTTCCGTTTTACTTCCATTTTAAGATGTAAGAGGATTACATTTTCTCCACTCTGTGCTTTGACAATTGGCAAAGTTAATGTAAAAATGGTTGTACTGCAAACTAGGAATGTCCGATAATATCGGCCAACCAATATTATCGGCGATATTAGCATAATTACGTAATATCGGTAAGAATCGTTATCGGTTTTTGCTCCGATAATGAAAACCGGATAACGCAAAACTAAACTGTTCTATTATGAATCCGAAAAACTTTAGTCTCCATATTAGTTTGGGACTAAAGTAAAATAAGTTCTTCTTTCCATCCTAGAGGAAGGGTGAACCACTTTTGACCCATTTGTGGCAAGTCATATTTGTAGCGTTTGCATCTTTTTCTTATTTGTAATTAGTATTGTATTTATCACGTTCATTAACAATAATTGCCATCGATTACGCACAATTGATGAATATTTAAACATGAACATCTCTGTCGAGACGAATTCGGGAAAACAAGAGAAATCACATGGAGCGAACCGACACGCAAACATCTGGCGCATCTGGGTCTCACACCGAGCCTCGGATCAACGTCTGCAGGTTCTGGTTGTGAGGTTCGGGGCGGGGAGGGGAGGGAGGGAGGCAGCAGAACGTCAGGAGAGTCAGATGCTTCTTCATCACTGAGCCCTGATGCGCAGTCAGGGGGACCTGGCATGCGTGTAGCGGTGAACGTGAACGTCTCCTCCCCTGTTTCTGCAGTGTTACTGCTGCTTCTTCTTTTTTTCTCTCTCTCCCTCTCCCTCTCCCTCTATCTCTATCTCGCCCATTGTTGCCTGTGCCAAGGCTGGACAACAGAAGAGTAAGATAGAAAGCCCCCCATTTACACAGCACCAAAGCCCGCTTTCTTGTCTGCCACCAACCCATTCATGTGCTTCAGATGTGTCCCGTTGTCCCGATCTGTGTGTGAGGTATCGTGTCCGTTCACTCTCCCAAACGTCCATTCACGGCCGCTCTGCAACTGTGCAGTTCGTTTGGGTTAGTTGCGTTGTCCGGATTCAGCACGGAGACGCAGCGGATTCCTTTTCCACCTCACTTCAAAATTGACCGATTTTTATAAACTCATATCCGTCTACTGGCGAGTAATACAAGTGGTGCGGTTGATCACATTTATTTTTTTAATTATTTTTTTTTTTCTTCATTTTTACGCATCGGCAGGTGCACACAGCCTTGGAGAGCATCGAGCAGAGAACATATTGTGATGTTTTTGAGGGAATGACTTGTTGTTGTTGTGTCGCGGCGCGGCGCTCGAACCCCCCAGACGACAACTATGTACAATCGACTAGTCGGATGGCGTTAAGTTTGCACCTTGGGTAGTGCACCTCTCTGGGTGGGTGGAGGGGTGGAGGGGAGGGAAAGGAAAGCTACGCGTCATTACCAAGACACCAGCGCACAGTCCTGTACACCATTACACCAGGCTGCCCTGCTGTGTGGATGGCACACGGGGTGTCTCCCTCTGTGCAAGTGTTGCGGGGTAGAAGCCACGCTGCGTGTGTACGGACCGGGATCCAGGCGAATGTGAGTCTGTCTATGTGAGTATCTCTGTGCGCTCCAAATGTTGACCAGTGTTTATATAAAACTGTCTTTCCCCTCCCCTTACATTTAAAATGTGCAGCGATTTGGAAATGCTTTTTTTTTTTTTTTTTTTTTTTGCATCACTGAGATTGTGATTGTGTGTTTATTCTGTTTATGAGGCAGACTGCACTGTTTGAGTCCAGCCCTCTTTCATCTCCATCCCTTATCTTGGCTTTGAACGAGCTCCTTTAAACTCTGACGCTGTCAAATCTCTTCGGGACATTTTTTTTTTTTTTTCTTTTTTGGGGTGATCATCTTATTTAAAGATAACCTGTCTTTTACACAGAAAGACGTGTCCATCTCCTGAGACCACATGTTCCACCGCTGAGCTGACTCACTAACATCTGCACCTGGGGTGAGTAATACAGAGTCTCCTTGGAATATTAAAGCTTGATACGGCCAGAGACAGTTCCTGCACTATAATATTCAGCTTATTCTTGGCTCTGCAGACTTGCATCCCCCTTTTTCTGCTCATCTCTGCTCAGGTTTTGTTGGATAATTGCAATTTTTTGTGTTTGACAAAATCATCACCGTTGCTACGTAACTTTCTTATCGTTTATTTACCCATTGTTTTTTTTTTTTCTTTTCCCTTCAGAGAGTTATTCTTTTTGTCGCTTTCTTAAACAGACATTTAAGATTAATCTTATTTATTATTTTTTTTAAATCCCAGTCTGTCGCCATTTGGGAGGAAAACACCTCTCACAAAACCATTGCTGGCAGAAATGTGTGACTCATGTTTAAATCTTTACCCACCGAGCCAAAGAAACATCACCCACTCAAAATGTGTGCAATGTTGTTTGCGAAAGAAAACTTATATCGCTGTACAAACATTGTGCAGTTTAGAAGAAAAAAAAAATTAAACATCGGGTTTACGGAAATTACATTAATACAAAATGTGCCGAATAGTCATTGACGTTTTTCTTCTTGTTTGCTTGTCATCTGGTGACTGGATTCACGGGCCATGCAGCTGATCTGTCCACTTGGCAAAGAGCTATTGAGGTGGTTGCTCAAAAGTGCTGCACAAGTGAAACGGGATTGTCATATATTTATGAGCAAACTATTAAACCAGTTCATTTTTTTCTTTTCCATTGTGCTGCACCTCTTCACGCTTGTGTCATTTGATGCAAAAAAAAAAGGGCTGAAGTCACATTATTCTAAAAAGAGGAGCATTTTGTTTGCTCTATGTTAACAGCTTACGTATATTCTGTACCTAAAGCATTTACAGTCCTCGTAGTTTGCCCAAAATAGTTTCTGGGCAAACTATTTTTAGAGCGCAAATGGACTTCAAATTGTATTTAGTAAAGGGATGAACGTGTTAGAATGAGCACTTAGGATTGGCATTGCACTGTGGATACTGGCTGTGATATATGCTTTTTATGCCCCTTAAATGATTAAGTGACTAGTATAAGGCAAAGGGAAAAGCCATATAGACTATGGAGGGCCTTTTACAATGAAGACACATACTGGACGCTTTTGCTTTGAGTAATAAAAAAAAAAAAAAAAAATAACTAGGTCAAAAGGCTAATTTAAAATAAAAAAATTTGCTTGCACCAAAAACAGCCTAAACACTAGCGACACTTCATTTCCGATTTCGATATCAACCGATACTGATATAGGCCTGGTGATATTTATTTATTTATCTGTACAAACCACTGTATGAGTTGTTGGCACCAGCATTCGGCATACAATCCCCTGATTATTAAAATAGATGAATTAAATGAGCTGCAATGCTGCCATCTAGTGACTTTCACTTTCATATACAGCCATTTATCCCTAAAACTATTTTTAGGGCAAACGTCATTTGGCGAAAAAAAAAACAAGCATTGCGTTTTCGGGTTTACATCAGCGGAGGGAAAAACAATAATGATTCCTGCAGATATTAGATAATTATCTCGCTAATATCGGGTTTAATAATATCGGTCGGCAGATACTATCCTGACTTAAGACTTAATTTAACTTCAACATCCGTCATCAATTTAACACAATACCCTTTATAAATTAGGAAAAATAACCCAGAATTTTAGTCGGCCGATACTATTGGACATCCTTATTTAAGACTTAATTTGACTTCAACATCCGTCATCACTTTAACACAATACCCTTTAAAAATTAGGAAAAATAACCCAGAATTTTAGGGCACTGCTAACGTGACTGATCAAATCTGCCCATCACGAAGCTTGTTCTACTGTACTAAACAGATTCTGGCTACCTACTTATACTCCCTCAAGCTTTGCAAACAATGATACGCCGTACAAGAGTAAAAAAAACAACAACACCACACTCAGAATGAAGCCCCTGTAAATATGTGAAATACGTTAAGGCTCAGACACTGAACATTTTCAGGTCATCGTCTGAAAATGACAACAGCTATGTCCATGTCTTATTTTACAAACCAAAATGCACTGAGATCTGGGAAATCAGTGTTAAGGTTGTTTTTTTTTTTATCATGTGAAGATATAGAACTAAAACAACTCGATATATTATTTACAGAGTAGCCGCATATACTCTTTTGGCTTTTGGTCTTATACACTGCTGTAGTTATGCAAGCAATGACCAGAGAGGTGTAACTACCAATCATAGCAGCTTTTTTTTTTTTTTTCAAAGAAATTAAGAATTAACATCATGCTCTCTCTGGTAATAAAGTTTAGGGCGTAGTGGTTACACTAAATAACACGTCATTTAAAGGTTTTCAATAGGGATGTCCGATATTAACTTTTTGCCCATATCCAATGTGACCTTATTATTAAAATAGATTAATAAAATGAGCTGCGATGCTGCTATCTAGTTACTTACACTTTCAAAACTATCTTGAGAGCACACGTTATTTGACGAAATCCAGGCATTGCATTAACATGTTTTCGTTATTAGGCTAATATCGGGCCAATAGTGTCGGTCCGCCGATAATATCGGTCGGCCGGTATGTGCTGTGATTGTGATTCAAAAGGGAAGTTTTTTTAAGAATAAAAAAGTATAATAAAAAAATCCACTTCTTTAAATTATGAAATCTACAATTAAGAATATTCAACCGTACAGGTTGAACTGTTGGTTGTTTTGCTGATGTAAACGTTTTTTTAACACTTGGCTGAAGTAATTTTCTGTCTGTAACTCAAAAACTCTACCTGAATTTATTTTTTAACATACTCTAATAAGTACTAACTAAGATAGAAATTGAAACCCAACATAACATATTGACAGCAAAAATTGCGCCACCTGGCATGTAGCCATTATTAGCTCTATACATTGCACAATGCCAATTTCCTGGTTCACTTTAAGCACGGCTGTGACAACACAATGAAGCACAATGTTCACCCTCTCAATCATGCACAAACCACTCCTAACAGTTTTGACTTCAACTCTTAGGCATTTGTCTTCTAAAAGAGAACAACCTTATAAAACACAATGTTCAGAGTTTTGACTTCAACTCTGAAGCATTTGTCTTCTAAAAGAGAACAACCTTTTAAATCATGGTACATTTGAATGATACTCTATCCACCAGCAACTTATAGTAACTTTGCATGTACAAAAGTGTAATATTAAAATATAATGTTATATTTTGCTTGTTAATTTTGTTTATACATTTGTATTAACAGTGTAATATTAAAGTGTAATATTAAAATATAGTGTTATATTTTGCTTGTTAATTTTGTTTTGGTGATTTTTTTTTTTTAATGTTTGCAGAGATTATCAAATGTGAAGTGGGTTGAACGTCGGCAGATTCCAAGCATCACCATCCCACCATGGCGCTGCACAAGACTATTTCGAGCTGCTCTCTGCCTGCCACTCCGTATACGCTCCTCTCTCTTTTACTGGTGTTGCTCCCAGGAGTCACTCATTTCTCCCAGGGCAGCATAAGTCAGGAAGACCCTGGCACCATCTCAGGTAACTGCTCCAATGAGAACAACTGCTCCGAGGGTGTGCTGTTGCCCCTGTGGAATCCCCAAAATCCTGCAGTGGGTGACAAGGTGGCGCGTGCCATTGTCTACTTCGCTGCCCTCATATACATGTTTCTGGGCATGTCCATCATCGCAGACCGCTTCATGTCTTCTATTGAGGTCATCACCTCCCAGGAAAAAGAGATCACTATTAAGAAGCCCAACGGAGAGACATCCACGACAACTGTACGCGTCTGGAACGAAACAGTGTCCAACCTGACCTTGATGGCACTGGGCTCTTCAGCTCCTGAGATCCTTCTGTCTGTCATCGAAGTGATCGGCCACAATTTCGAAGCTGGATCTTTGGGCCCCAGCACCATTATTGGCAGCGCCGCTTTTAACATGTTTATCATTATCGCTATTTGCGTCTACGTGGTCCCAGAGAATGAAACCCGCAAGATTAAGCACCTTCGAGTGTTTTTTGTCACTGCTGCCTGGAGCGTGTTTGCGTACATCTGGCTCTATCTCATTCTCTCGGTGTTCTCACCCGGAGAGGTGGCTGTTTGGGAAGCCGTCCTCACCTTCTTCTTCTTTCCTCTCTGTGTGCTGCAAGCCTGGATTGCGGACCGTCGGCTGCTCTTCTACAAGTACGTTCACAAGCGATACCGCGCGGACAAGACCCGCGGCATTATCATTGAGTCAGAAGGTGATGCCATGTTCACGAAAATGGAGCTGGAGATGGACGGGCAGGGTGTGAACTCCAACACCCACCACAAAGAGGTTTTGGATGGAATGTTAGAAGGAGTGGAGGAAGGCGGAGGGATGAGCACTGAGCAACATCAAGAGGAAGAGGCCCGGCGTGAAATGGCTCGAACGCTCAAAGATTTAAAGCAAAGGCATCCGGAGAAGGACATGGAGCAGCTGATCGAAATGGCAAACTATCAAGTACTGGTCCAGCAACAGAAGAGTCGAGCCTTCTATCGCATACAGGCCACGCGTATGATGATCGGAGCTGGGAACATCTTGAAAAAGCATGCCGCAGACCAGGCCAGGAAGGTGGTGAGCTGTCATGAAGCTAGCGGGCAAGAAGAAGATCCCAACACCATTTATCTTCAGTTTGATCCCTCTCACTACCAATGCTTTGAGAACTGTGGCTCACTTAAGCTGTCAGTGAGCCGGCATGGAGGAGAAAGTGGTTGCACAGTGAAGGTAAGAGGTAATGACAGGAACCAAGTGACAAATACGTTGAGGCTTAACTGCTATAAGAAATATTCAGTATTTTATTCAAGCTCAAGTGACTGCAAAGCAAATATTTGATTTCCGTTTCTCGATTTCCGTGTGGCTTACAGGTGGACTACCGCACAGAGGACGGAACTGCCAATGCGGGCTCTGACTACGAGTTTGCCGAGGGCACGCTTGTCTTCAAGCCCGGCGAGACGACGAAAGAGTTCACCGTTGGCGTTATCGACGATGACATTTTTGAAGAGGACGAGCACTTTTACGTACGCCTCAGCAACCCACGAATTGTCCACCGTGCCGAAGTCTCGGTCCTCGAGCCAAACTCTATCACCTCCAGCAACAGCACCGTGGGCGTCCCTTCACACGTTCCTCCCAAGGCTGCTCTGGGAAAAGCCTGCACGGCCACAGTTACCATCTACGATGACGACCACGCCGGCATTTTCACTTTCGAGAGTAACTCCACAAGGGTCAGCGAGAGCGTTGGCAACATGCAAGTGAAGGTTCACAGAACATCCGGGGCCCGGGGAAAGGTGGCAGTGCCTTATCACACCGCCGAGGGCACCGCCAAGGCTGGGGAGGACTATGAGGAGGTGTCTGGAAAGCTGGAGTTTCAGAACGACGAAACCATGTAAGCAGCCATTGTTTTCTTTTCTGATTCAGTGACTTGTTGTTGCTTCTAATAACTTGATTATATATCACAGCCCACGCATTGATATGTTAAAAGGTCCTGCTAGATTACTGCGAGTAGTCTGCTCAGCCCCGAGGATAAAAAAGACTCTTTTCAGATGCAGTCGCTCCATGAAGTTAAGATCAGTCAGAGGAGCGAGTGGGAGGATAAGACAATTGTGAGAAAAGATAATGAAACAGTGTGGTTGATGTGAAAGAAAAGGCACAGAGACAGGTTTCTCGTGAATGTGCACGCAGATAAATAGCCAAAACGTTTTCCTTGGAGGTTAGGTGGCATTTAATATATGACAAGAAAGGCAATTCATGGAGTTGCAGAAAACAGAAATCACCCACGTGACTTGCTAAACCAATATGGAGGTGACGTAAAAAGTGACCAAGTGCTTATGATTAAACCAGTGGTTATTTTGAACTCAACAGTGGTGGAGCAACACGTTTTGTAGTTGTTTGTTTCGTTTTTTTTGTGTAGTAAGAGTCCCCTAGAATCAGAGAACACACTTGTTGCTGTTAAAATGAACGCGAACAAAGACGCAGACAATGATCCGCATCTCTAATTGTTCTTTTTTTTGTAGTAAGAGTCCCCTAGAATCAGAATGCTGTTAAAATGAACGCAAACAAAGACGCAGACAATGATCCGCATCTCTAATTGTTCACCTTACCCGAGCTTCATCGTGAAAAAGAAACAACAACACTGTGAAGGACGAAACCGAAGCAACGAAATGTGTCAAATGAATCATTCTGCATGAAGAGAATTTCAGAGCCCTTGTGTAGGTGTGCTGTGTGGGTTCGGCTGAGTGGGAGAAGAGGCAGGTGAATCTCACTGGTGTCAGATCTTGCAATCTGTCTTTTTTGTTCTCTCTCTCTCGATGAAAGTGAGTGCACTTGTATTTCACACATTTGCTTTTGCATTTGTGTGTGTGCGCCGCATGCACATGAAGTAAAACTCCAAAGGAACACTAAAAAAAAAAAAAATTGCTTCTTGAGCTTCCAAAGCAATTAAACAGGGAGGTAGAGTTTAATAAGTCCCAGAAGTTATCAACGTGAAGCTTCAAAAGATGCACATAATGAGACAAGGGTGAGTGTGTGGCAAATTTGAGATTAGGGGTGAGGAGCCTTTATCAGCACTTAAACACAGACTGAGCCTCAGATAATGCCGTTACCTGATAATGGCACAGTATCAGCTGATGCAGTGCAGGGAAACTATGAAATAATATAATGTGTACACACACATATATATGTATGTATTAGTAATGCACCAAAATTAAAATTCCTGGCCAAAACCGAAAAAACTGAAGATGAGGGAAACCAAAGTCGAAAACTGTAAAAACGACAAGAAATTATTATGCCGTTACGTTATTAGTACCGTTACGTTTATGGCTATGACTGTGTAACTAAACCTCAAAAAAGAGCACAGCAACTGCATAAAATAATAATAATAATAAAATAAAAATAATAATAATAAATTAATAAATGTCAAAATAATTCTTTGTCAAATGTCTAGCAGAGAAATCAAATCAACTGATAGTCATGTAGGAATTTAGAACAGACTAGCCCACCTATTATTATTATTATTGGAGGAACTCTCTGGCAGGATCTCACAGAACATATCAGATAACCAGGGTGCTGCTCCTCCGTGAGCTTCTCCGTCTCCAAGCGGGTTTTCTGCCTCCACTGCGGCCCGGGGCCCCTTTCCCGTGTGCGCTGCTTTATTCCCGCATCCCATCCATTGCGGTCCCGGCTCCTTTCCCGTGTGCGCTGCTTTATTCTCGCATCCAAGTAATGATCTTTGTAACGCGGATCAAGTACAGTCGCGTAAAGTGCAGGGCATCCGAACGGATCTCAGTGAAACATGTCCTGACAGACTCTATTAGTGGACTTTTTACCCCCCCTCTTGAAATTTCAGCATTACACGTTGGAGTTCAAAGTCTCAAGTCCGGTGACGAGACTTTTTGCTTGTGTCATTATGACTTCCTGTTTCGGCTATGTGGTTTTGGTGCTAAAAGTTTTGGTTGGTCGAATATTCGGTGCATCCCTAATAAATACTGTTTATATTTTAACAAGGTTGTTAGCATTGGTTAATACGTGTATTATAATGACGGTGAATACAGCAGGGCCGTGGTTCATTAGTATGTCGTGAGAGACAATCGGGTGTGTCTAAACAGATATCTTCACGTGTCTTTCCTGAACATGTTTTTCCTACTTTCATCATGTTCTCTTATTTTCTCCCAGTCAGTGTACTACATTCAGAGATTGCAGTGTAAGAACTGCTAATATAATCAACATTTTAAGCTCCAAATCCCATCATCCGTTTCATAGTTGCCTGGCTACAACATTTACCTGCACCAGGGCTGTTGTAGCTATACATTAGCATATATACCCCTACTTGCAGCAATAACAATTTTGCATTGTGAGGACACCATATGTTGTTTTTCTCACCACCTCAGCTGTCCTTTCCCAGTCTTCTAGTAGGTGCTCTGTAGCCCTAGGAGCATCGCTCAACTAGACTCTGAAGTCTCCTTAACACTCCTCCCTTTCTTAGTTTCCACCATTCAATCTTCACCTCTGCCTTCACCTCGCTATCTTTCCTTTGCTTCCGCTCTACACGCAACCGTCTGTGCTGCCTAGCTACGCTTTCCCTTGGTAACGCTTTGACCACGATGTGATCAGCTTGTGCACGTACTCCTTCAGTCTTGTATGTGATCTTACGTTCCTCCGAGTTCCTAAAATAACTTTTTTAACAACAGCCATTTCTGCCATCTTTGCAAAGAGTGTACAGTCGTCTGTCCTTCTGCATTTCTGTCTTTCTCGCCATATCTACCAAGAACCCCCTCATCTCATCTCTTCTGTTCCCTTCACTGACTCTTATATTTAGTTTATCTATTTGAGTACATATACATATTTACTCAAATAGACCTACCTATACTGTATATATATCAATGTAGGTAGATGACTTCGTCCTGGTCATTTGAAAAGTACAGTGATCCCTCTCCTATCGTGGTAGTTGCGTTCCAAGACCCACCGCGAATTCCAACCATGTGAAGCATCCCAAATAAATATTATAAACTTTTTTTAAAAAATTGATATAAGCAAGTCAGACTGTTTTCAGGTTATATGCAGTTTGAAGTTTTGGTATTTAATTTTTGTAGGTTACATACGGGCCCAATGAACTGTGCAGGTGAGTCCACCTGAAAGCACAGCAGCTATGTATATGTGTATAGGCAGGCAAGCTGTTTTCAGCTCAGCAGGCTGCTGAAGTTCCTTCCATAAACAGAGCTCGCTCCTCTTTCTAAAACGTTTCCCTGTGAACTAGGGACAAAGAGCTCACACACAGCAGTAGGTCTGCAGGCAGCTCCCGTCTCTCTTGTATTTGCCTGTGTCTCCGGCTCTGCGTGTCCCTGTCTGCTTTCATCTGCCTGTGCCGTTGGAGGATCGTGCATGCAGAAAGGCATTAGACATGGAAGGCAATTTTTGCAAGCTCTTGACATAGGGCCAAAAATAAGAGTTTAAAATGTAGGCGTACAGAACAGCGGTGCATGGATTATGACACATGCTGAGGGAAAATGAAAAAAAAAAAAAAAAAAAAAAGAATCCCATAATACCCTTTTAAATAAAAAAAACTTTAAAAAAAAAAAAAAAAAAAGCAGCTTTTGCTTGTGCGTGTTTTTGTCAGCTCAATTTTCCAGTTGAGGCAGATGCATATATTTGGAGCAGTTACATAAGCTGCCTTGTATGAGATGTGAGCACAAAGCTTCTGAAAACACTAATCAATACGCTGGTATTTCTTTTGGCCAAATGTGGTCTGCCACAGCCACCCTGGTTTAACAGAGTCCGTAGGACCAGGGATGCTATCCCTTTCTTGCCTCCGACCATTTGATCAACACATCCTCTGTAGAACCAGATGCCTCGAAAATCCTGACAAATTGTGTACATTGTAAATCAATAGGCAACTCCGATGGAACAGTTAACGAGAGAAAGAGAGAGAGAAGGGATTAATAAGCTCAGGAAATAAAGAGAGAAAAGAATTAGTTCGCACCTACCATATTTTTCGGATTATACGTTTTCCGGAGTATAAGTCGCACCAGCCCCAAAAAACCCCATATATAACATATATAAGTCGCTTTGGAGTATAAGTCGCACTGGTGCCCTCTAGCGGCTGTCAGTGTGACAATAACAAACATGTAAATTTTTCAGTGGTTAAGGGCAGTAGATAATGGTACACAAGCCTAGTGTGCCCTCTAGCGGCTGTCAGTGGGAAAATAGCGAATATGTGAATATGTGTGTATGTGTGCGTTTGTCATACTCTAATTCTGGGACAAGATGCAAACCCGTTGCGAGGATGCTAGGTGTGTACGAAATGCGAAAGACAAGGGGCGGGTTAAGACAACTAGCCACTTATATATAAAACATTAGCAAAAGCTGTGAAAACCAATGACTTTCTAGTGGTGTTGCGAAACGGTCAGGTCCCACAGGGTTTTATTACCGCCTAGAGATTGTGCGTCAGCAACTTTACTTAAACTGGTTTTCTCCCAGTCCTACTCTATGTGTGTGTTTTGTCAAGTTTTAAAGTGGTCACAAGTATTGCACAGGGAAATTCGCTGCCTGGTCAGCTGTTTTTAAACAAACAGGAGAGTACTGTTAACTTAGTAGTCAGGGGAGTGGGTTTGATTTCGACATTGGAGGAGACGCAAAAGTGTCCATGGCAGCATTTCTAGAAGTTTGTGTTTTTTGGCATTTGGAGTCATAATTTCACATCACCTCCTCCGGCATTTTTACTCTGCGTCACCTGACAAATATGTGTGGATGCATCTAGAATCTGAGGTCTTGTCGTAATTTCTCCACAAATGTCCTTTGACGCACCTTTACTACTGTGTTCACGGCCTCTGCGTGATGTTTCCACTTGGATCCTGTGAAACTTGGTCTATTAAGGTACACACGAAATTTTTTCTGTAGGCAAAAAAGGCTTCAGTAGTAAACAAACAAATCTTACTCTATATGTTGAAAAAGAAATCACTCTTAACATACAATAATAGTCCCTCAATGGCAACAGCGAATCATTACAAAGAAGTTATTTGACTTGTTCGCGCTCATAAGCGATAAACGGTAAACCCTTGTATATTACAGTGAAAGTCACTAGATGGCAGCATTGCAGCTCATTTAATTAATCTCATACTCGTACAATGGTCTGTACAGATGAATAAATAAATCCTACCTATGATCGGTATCGGTTGATACCAGATTTGGAAATGATGTGTTTGGAAGATATTGGCATATCAGATATCGGCAAAAAGTTAATATCGGACATTCCGTAACTTTGAGTTTTCTGTCCAAGCTGGTATCTAGTTTACCGTTGGTTCTGTGGATCTAATCAACTTTTACATATGCGGTGAGCAACTTAACATCTGTCTATAATAGGGGTTTCACAGCCCCCTAGCGAGGTCTTGGAGGTATTGCATCAGGGTTGTGAATTTTTTAGTACAGCATATCAGACAATTTTTATATGGTCTAATCACTACTTGTTGTACCTTATACATAAAACTAAATATATATGAATCTGTGTGTTAATAAAACAAGATGAATATCAAGAAAATTACCTCTTAGAATGCTTCCGTTGCCCATACTTTTGCTTCCACGTACATGACTTTACCCAACTTGAGTCAGCCAGTGACTATTCATTCATGGTAAAAATAAAACTTAAAAAAAAAAGACCCTGTAGCGGCAGAAGCGCTTCCTCTGAGTGTACATGCAAAGACAGAAATAGGCAGCCACCCACATATCATTAGGGAAATGGAGAAAGGCAGAGAGAGAGAAAAAAAAAAAAAACTCAATTTGACAACGAGCAGAGAAAAAGCCGAGAAAAATGTCGGTCACAGAATGACAGCGTCCCCGACCACTTGTCAGGTTTTCACAGGTTTGTTAAATGCTCTTAAAAAAAACCCCCACAAATGACCTATTTTTTACCAAAAATAAATATGAATAAAAATGATGAGAAATGAAATCCTTTTGTGCCTTAAGTCTGTGAGAACAGATTTATACCGTAGCAAATGGATTTATTGGTGTAGAGGCAGCTGATCTCCTTGTGCAATCTCGCTGAAATATGTATTTATATATACTTATATTAAGCACTGATACAGTGTATGTATATATATATATACACATATATGTATATATATGTATATATGTATATATATATGTATATATGTATATATATAAATACATATATATGTATATGTATATACATATATATGTATATGTATATACATATATGTATATATGTTTATATATGTATGTATGCCATGCCCACCAGTTTATGTCCCCCATTATACCCCCTCCCCCTTCCCTTCCCCATGAAGCACCTGGCAATATTTATTTATTTTTCTGTACGAACCACTGTTTGAGTTCTTCTTCGAGTATCTTGAACAGGCAACTTGCTCTGCTGCCATCTAGTGACTGGAGGCTCGTTTATCATTCAAGCATGAATAAAGACAGTACACTGAAAGTTCCAGGGGGGAGCCCCGCCCCACCACTTGAGAAGCATTGCTTTCGTGACTAATCCTGTTCCTGTCCACTTCTCCCACTGCCTTTAGGAAAATGCTGAATGTGAAGATCATCGACGATGAGGAGTATGAGAAAAACAAAACTTTCACTATCATCCTGGAGGAGCCAGTTCTGCTGGAAGTGGGACAGAGACATGGTGGGTATAAAAAAGTAAAAGCTGCCAGGCTTGAGCTAGTTCCTCATCATTACAGGGCTAAAAGACATCTGACTCGGTTTACGCTCTGCTTTATGTGTCCTGACAGGTTTAAGGCCTCTGCTGTTTATGCACAAACACTGTAAATGAAATGGGCCAAGAAGCTAAACACAGCCTAGTTCTTGCTGCTCAAAGACGGGCAGATTTAAAATTTAAAATATTTTTTCTGTGTTGTGCATTCAAATTGGGCAGATTTAATAATGGAGAAGTCAAGGTTTAATTGTCTAAGTGATAATATTTAAGTTAAAATAACAATATTACAAAAAACATGATGTGTATTTGTCATGCTGCACGCAGGAGACACCAATGACAACAAGACAGTAGTAGGACCGGAGGACGTGTCGAAGATGGGCTGCCCCTGTCTGGGAGAACACACAAGGCTGGAAGTGGTCATTGAGGAGTCTTATGAATTCAAGGTAACAAAAATGACATCAACATCAAACTGATCTGTCGTACACGTAGCTACATAAATCAAAAGCAGAGAGCAGCAGAATATGATTTGCTCTAAAAAGACTGAGCTATTCTAGTAAATAGGTAAATAGATAGATAGATGGACAGATGGACAGATGGACAGACAGATAGATAGGTAAATAGATAGATGGATAGATAAATAGATAGATAGATAGATAGATGGATGGATGGATGGATGGATAGATGGATGGATGGACGGATGGA